TCCCTTTTTTTTTCCCCGCCGTTATCGTCCTCTGACGTGATCTCGTCTTGTTTCGTTTCCCTTTTTCTCTTAACCGGGTCCTCTCTTCTTCATGATGACGCTCTCTCCCTCTCACCTTTGCCCCGCCACTTCTTGCCATTTTTTATTTCATTTTTTTTTTTCGCTTTGACCTGCACAACCAGCCAGAGTTCTGTTGGTGTGTCGTAACGCGCTTGACCGACCGACACGAACCATTTAAATTCCATGCTCGCACGAGTGAAAACTTTTCGTTCGTGCTTACTACCTGCAACCGAATAAACCGCCCCCTCTCTCTCCCCCTGCCACCCACTTTTTTACCCCTCCTATCACCCCACTCCAGTGGTTTTCTTGATCGGATATATGTATTTTTTTATACTCCAGTTTCGCCTCTTTTCCCTTTTTCCTTCGTTTTAATCCCGTTTTATGTGCACATGACTTTTCTCTCGAATACCGAATATCAGCGATATGACGTTCGATATCGTGAATTTTTCTTTAAGAGGCGGTTTCTCCCAGTTTTTGTCGTCTATGTAGGTAGAGGAAAAATGACATTTTCACGAAGATGATAAATTTTATTTCCCACCATGTTTTTTTTTACGAACGGGCGTGGGAAATGTGCGGGTAAAAAATGCAGTTGAGAATATCGGGTTGAGGTGAAGGGAATTTATTCAGGAGTTTTTTTTAGTGTTTTTGGGACCGGATGGAGCATTTCATGCGATGATGACGACTTTTCTGTGTCGATGATTAATTTTTCAGGATTGATTTTTCGATTTTTCGGTAATCAATTTGGGGTCTAGACACTGCACTCGAATTTTGACCTCCCATTACCAAATCTAAATAGAAATTTTCCGCATCATTGAAATTTGATTAAATTGATTGGCGAAGTGGTGGAGTGTACGTAACACATGTGGGGTAATTAAATGACAAAGGTCAGTCTTAATTAACGTCATGTAACGCATGACTCTGCGTGTCACGTTGGGGCTTTTCGTGTGCGGTGTAGAACGAGTATTTTAGATCGAAACAATTTGATGAAATGTGTAATTCATGAGAGTGGAGGGGAAGATTAACCCGCAAACTCGTAGTGATGGAAAATTTTTCAAATTCCTCCTTAGATTTTTCATTAATATATCATTCTAAACATATAGGAGACGCTGGGGTAAAACAGACACCATTAAAAAACTATTTCATTCAGAATTTTTATCTATTTATCTTTAAACAAACATTAAACAATTATAAAGGAATTAGTCAAGTCATAGACGGCCAAATCCCCAATTCCCCAACAATAAAAAAACATTAAATAATATTAAAAAAATGTCTAATAATAATGCACACTGTCAAATGGACTTGAACATTTTTAATATATTTAAACTAAATTAATAACGTCCGTAAACAATTGAAAAAAAATAAATTTTTGTTTCGGAACCCCTTATTAAACATTCGATCTGATAATAATTCAATGATTTTCAATAAGGCAAATAATTTTAGAGAGTCATTCCGTGATCCGAGGGAGACATTCGACATGTTAATTGCTACTACACCAATAAAAAAATGTCCATATAAAACCCCACACCAATTTCGTTGAACGTTCGCTTGCTCATGCTTTAAATGAAATTCTCGGGTGAAAAATGACTCGTCTCGATGATTTTTAAAGCGAATGAAATATCCACAGTGGTGTGGACATTAATCTGCGCCACGTGCTTGATCTTGATAGGAAAGAGGGTACGACTTAAATGAGAGAGTCCTCGAGGGTTCGACCAAGAGAGACCTCCCTACTCGTTTGCACTCCTCATCGTCATCGTCATCGTGTGTGCCCCGTTGAAGTTCGTGGTCCAACGAGAATCACGACTTCTTCACTCGGTGTATGTGTCCCTCGTCGTGAAATCCCCAAGAGCCCCCACGATTGCGTATATATTAAAATCCCCTCCCATACCTCTCCCTCTTTCTCCTCACTCACCTCAAGGTACTTCTCATTTTTTCCACGTTTTTTTTTTTCTTATTTTTTCAACCCCGTGACCTCAAAGAGCGCAAACTGACATCGAAATGTATATCTCCAACACGTGCTTGTTAACTTCGTTAGAGTCTTATTCTATAATTGAGTCGAGTTCTTCGCCCAGAGATAAAAATTCAATTCAATTATTCCATGAACTCAGAGGTGCACTGATCGAGAATTTCGTGACAGGGGTCTTGGTATTTTTCATCATTAATTTATCAAACTTCTCTTATCCACTCGATTGATAATTTAATTCAATTGGAATTTAAATGGACCGCGGAAAAAATATCCGTGCATTTATCCCGGAAGTCCCCCTGTCCTCCATTACCACCTCTTCCCACAATTTATCCTCAGAAATCATTACAAGAAAAAAAGTATCAAAACGTCTTCTTACTTCCTTAATTGCGCCACTCACACAGTCTCATAAAACTTCAAAGAACTGGATAATAACAGACTGAATGAGCGAGAAGATTTCCGGTGGCGAGGGGGGGCAAAAGAGGGGGTACAGTTTCTGTGATACCACGTGGTAATTGAGGTAAACTGGTTGCACGAAACTCGGCTATCGAAACACCTCGAGAAAAATCCAAAAACCAAAAAAAAAAAAGAAGAACATTACAAAACAGAATCAGCTTTAAACATTCCGGATGAACGCGAAATAAAGTTATTCCCTCCAAGAAGTGAGAGAGAGAAGCGAGTCTTCGGGGAGAGTTTGCCAGTTGAAGGAGGAGTAATAAAACTGAAATCCACCTCATTCCTTTTATCCGACATATTCCCTTTTTACCTTTTATTCCTCCGCATTTCACCTTTCTTTTTATTCCCACCGTACCCCCATATCGTCATCAATGTGAGTGCGTTTCGTGCAAGGTATTCCGGTATAAACCTGTGCGTTTCATTTTGCTAAGGGAAGTGGAATACTTTAGGATCGGTCCATGAAAGTGGAGGGAGGACTAGAGGTTGGAAGGCACCTGGGTACCCATCGATAAATCGCCGTTGGCTCAGAGAGTCCTCCCCCTGTCGTTTTTTATCCCCCACTTATTTCCACCGTCGAACGAGTCATTCCTTTTTTTTTCCCCCGCCGTAACCGAGAAGGAGGTCGAGGACATCGCAGACTCCTATCTGGACCCATTGAATCTACCCATATGGTTATCCTCACCCCCGACATCCTAATGCCATCAGCGAATTCAAGAAAAAAAAACCCCCAGATCTCCCACCCACCCTCTTCCAAAATTGTCCGCAATCCCAGGTCCACGGATGCCCGATATAAATTCGCATTTTTCCATTCTTCAGGATCTCCATAAGTGTAGCAATACGCTCAACTCCCTACCATCGACGATTTATCGACGATTTATCGACTTCCCCTGACCCCACGTAACCCCCACATGTCAATTTCCCCGGATAAAAAAAAAGGGGGGGAGGACGGGGGTGAGTGGTGAAAAACGACGGAAAAATATATCGGTGAAAGAGAAAAAAAGTTCAAGAGTTCGTTAACGTCACGCGCCGGACTCGGATATATCACGTGCGATATTGCGGCAGAGCTGTCCATCAGGATAGTCACTGTGCGGACTGCTGGGAGAGAGCCTTCCAATACGCATATCAGGGATCTCAGCAAGTTGTCATGACAGAGAGAAGGAGGGATATCGAGGGAATGAGGAGGAAGGAGAGGATGAAGTTAAAGGGCTCGATGGTCAGTGGTATAACCAGCGGTTTACCTACCACAGTCAAGTCGACTTGTACATATCCTCCAGTGAATCCATGCATGGACAGTTGGTGGAAGGCCTTGGTGGGGACATATGCACACACCAAGCCAATTGCCTTCAGGATGCTTTTGAAATCAATCCCGCGAGGAGAGTCCACTATCGATCCAATCCCGGTTGTCTTCTTTTCCACCTCTTTGGAGTGGGTTAAAAGGCACTGGTGGGGCAGGGGGTGGAAGGTAGGGGGCACCTTCGTTAGTTAAACTCGCCCACACTGAGGGACTTATATACACAACTTTGGCGTATCTCCTCGTTAACTGTCCTTAGTGGTGTATAAACTTTTGCTGTCTCTGTTTTCTCGAGGAGAGTTGGCGAAATGGCGTGCCCTCCGCAGACCCCCCATCACCCTTCACGGATCTACCCCTGTAGATGTTGGTGGATGGGGCAGTGGGGGATAAATAAAAAATATTCTCCGTTTAGTTTGGTTCGTGAGGGCTGAGCTTTTATTTTTTTAATTGAGAAAGTACACGCCCGGAAACGAGCCACTCATCTTTCTCTCGTACCCCCTCTCTCCTTTCCTTTCAACCTTTCTCTGTATAGTCGTTGGATTAAACTTGAATCTGAATTCCGCTATTTTTTTTTATCTTGGGGGAAGCTCTTTTGACGTCAATGGTGGATTAATTGAGCGTGTTTAATGTTGGGGGAGGGGGATATTTAATTTTACTTGGGAGGAATAATTTAAGGTCTAATAAGCGTTATTTTAATAGGTGATTTTTCAAGTGTTTTGCACTGAAATTTTTTCGTGAAGTTGGGGTTCAGGTTGAGACGTTTGTTAATTATTTCTTCAAATTTCCGTCATAGAGTTATAGGAAATTTTGGTTGTATGAGTTTGAATTGAATTTCAATTAATGGCGGTGACTGCATTTCTCATTTATCTTCGAAATTCAAGACAATTGGATTTTCCATGTTACGTAATAATTGATTTTCCAATAAAAGCTCGAATTTTTACGCTGATCGTGAACATTGAACATCAAATGCGATTAAATTTCCAATAGATTGAAAATTCTGCGAAATTACTGGTTGAACTTTCACAATTTTCACGGCTTTTCCGTGCCATATATCGCCCAAAGAACAAAGAATAACCAGAATATTCAAGAAATTAAATGATTCATCAATGAAGAGTTGTTAATAATTTCAAATTTTTCTTTCCAAAATTTCAAGTGTAATTTTCCAACAGTAAATGATTTTTAAATTTCCAAAAATAGCAATGACTAAATATGTCTTTATAATTTTTGTTGCAGAACCACTGGTGGATCTCCAAGAAATTCCATCTGCAAGTGGTGGAGGTGGTGGGGGGCGGGTAACCCGTCCCGTAGTATAGTAAGGTAGTATAGAATAATAGCAGAATTGAGAAGATTACCGGGGGACCAAAAAGAGAGTAAAGTGGATAGCAAACGATGATGAGTATTAAACTTGAAATTCGAGGGCTATCGCCTCTCGTAGCACTGATAATTGTCACAGCAATTCTCCTCCAAGCGCCAAAAATAAGGGCAACATCATCGGACATCGTTCACCAATTCTACGATGCCGATGTCCAACGGATGAATCATCTAGTTGTGGATAAAAATACTGGACGTGTTTACGTTGGTGCTGTGAACCGTTTGTACCAATTTTCCCCTGATTTGAATCTCGTTGTTAAAGTGGTAACAGGACCCCAGGACGATGCACTGGCATGTTCGAGTTTGGATTGTCCACGTGAGGCTGTCAAAGGTCTAGTTGACAATGTCAATAAAGCACTTGTCATTGATTACACAACATCACGACTAATATCGTGCAACAGTTTGTTTCAAGGTACATGCGATGTACGAAATATTCACAACATCACTGATGTCGTTCAGAAAGTCAAAGAGGCTGTTGTTGCTAATAATGCAACAGCATCAACCGTTGCATTTATAGCACCAGGACCACCAAATCCACCAGTGTCACAGGTTATGTACGTCGGTGTAACGTACACTGGTAATTCACCGTACAGGTCAGAAGTGCCAGCTGTCAGTTCACGTTCACTCGACAAAGACAAGATGCTGAACATTGCTGAATCTGCAGTCACAACTGGCACCAGAATTTACGTCAATTCACTGTCACGTGAGCGTTATCCCATTAATTACATCTATGGATTCAGCAGTGAGGGATTCAGTTATTTCTTTACAACTCAGCTTAAGGATACCGATGCCACTAATTACATATCAAAACTCGTCAGACTCTGTCAGGATGATATGCATTATTATTCGTACACTGAGATACCAGTTGAGTGTAAGAATCAGGGGAGAAATTATAATCTCGTTCAGGCTGCTTATGTTGGTAAAGCTGGCTCTGTACTTGCTGGTGCACTTGGAATAACAGCTCAGGATGATGTTTTGTATGCTGTATTTGCTGAGAGTGATGTACCAACTAGTCCGAGACCGAGTAATCATTCGGCGCTGTGTGTTTATACGCTCAAGAATATCAGGAGAAAGTTCATGAGGAATATACAGAAGTGCTTCAGTGGTGATGGACAACGCGGACTCGAGTTCATATCGCCGAGTCACAAATGCGTCCTTACGGTGAGTACTTTTACTCATTTACCTCATTACCATTTAGCGGCTTATCTCGAATCTGTTGAGTCTTGTTGGTGGAGGGGCTTTTTTTTTATCCAGCTTATGGATTTCTGGCTTCGGTCTTTTTGGATCGGAAAAGTTTTCGTCTTATCATGGGAAGAAAATTGTTTGGCAAAGTGGAGAGTGTAATCAACAGAGGGAGTGTAATTATCGGGGTGGATACAAAGGAGGGGTTGATGGGATCTGGCTCATTGGATGGTCTAGGAAAATTCTACGCCGGAGAACACAGCTTGTGAAATGTTTTTACTCCGAAACTCTGAGAGTTATCATGAAACCAATTTCCTCATAATGAAAGCGGTTCTTGCTGGTATTTCGGGGTTGTTGAGGGGGAAAAAGCGAGCTGTCAACATGTATTTTCCGGTGGAAATTTTCTTGGCAATCTGTCTAGGGTATTTTCACGTAGAGATGAGAATCGTTTGCTTTCCAAAACATCTTGACGATTCTAGAAATGTAAAACGAAAACAAAGTGGAAAACATGAAAAACAATTTCTCAGGTGGTACTCCGGTGCATCACATTGTATCCGTATAATTTTCTCAAGGAAATTAACGCGGGATATTTCTCGATACGTCCTTGTAAAGTCCATTAGAGGGATAAATCAATTGGCAACGGCTCGACATAACCGTTTTATTCTCCACTCAGTACCTGTATTTACGTAACAGGTGGTACTTGGATGAATCGTCGGCATCAATTCCATCTAAAGTGTACAGTAGTTGTGTATTTAAACATACGCGGTTTCTCCTTCTCGTGTTGGGCCCCCCTTCAGTACCCCCTCACTGCCATATGCTCAATCCATTACGAAGACACGTTGAATTGTTGATTATACCGATGAAGGACGGGTTGGTGGGGGGGAAGGGTTGATGGTGGAACGCAAATGATTTTGCACGTGGGTAATGGTGTTTTCAACGTGACGCCAACCCCCCTGTCGGCCCCCCACACAAAACGATTAAATTCACTCTTCACCGGGGGTTTACCTTTATCAATTATGTGGCCAGTCTCGGTTGAATGCAATTCGTTATTGTCATGATAAATAATTAGTCCATTGTTCGACGACAGTCACTGGGGTTTTTGATTTTTTTTAACGAGAGTTCTTTGCCCTTTTTAGTTTCTTCTGGGCGCTGAAATTATTTCTCATTAAAATATAATCTTAATTCGGAAATCGACAAATTCCAAGTCTCTTATGACTTTTCTTGTAGTTCGTGTAAAGTCTTTCACTAGATTGTTTTCATTGAAAAAGTTCTTCGGGACAAGTGAGATGTACTTGAGGAAGTGAATGGTGATTTGGTACACCTGGTTTCGTGGATGAAAGGGAATCTTTGTGGCTGCAGGTCCTTTTTAGTTAACGTGAGAAAATCACCTGCTGCTGGGTAATCTCGACAAACTGATAATGGTTGGATAACCATCATAAAAATACTGTTTGTACGGGGTCTTTTATTACGGAAGGATGTTGTATTCCACTTGAGATAAGGTTTGGTTTTTTGGAGGAGCTTAAGGATGGGACGAGGTAGGGTAATAAAAAAATGCAGCCAAAATTATGAGGATTTTTTGATAAACTGATGAATTCATTAAGCAATGATTTGCAAAATTTCGGATAGTCTAGGAGCAGGGGAATAATATTACAAAATCCTGAATTAACAACTTATGTAGAATCCCTGAAGAAATAGATCACAGGAAAAATACACCCATGATTTTTTTTTCTGCCATTGCCCTGCCCTCAGGCTATGCAAAATTTTGGAGATTGTTGTTTAATAAATTCACCAACGCAGTAAACAATTTTTGTAACGTTGGCTGCATTTTTTAAATTCTTTCTATTATTCCTGCCCTCGCTGGATTATTCTTAAGGTGCAACATTCGCGAAAGTAATTTTTTTTTTTGTGAAATGTATCGGTTCTAAGTCGCCTAAAAATAGAAAAAAGCAGAAAGCTACTTAAATCTTTCGAGAGTTCATAAAAGAATTTTTCTCCTCACGTGTCAACTATTGTCTGCAAAAAATCTTTTTTTCCATCCTGATAAAAGAAATTTCGTGGACTATAGTTTGACCTTTAATCTCCCATCCATCTCCAACAAAAAATACACATTTCAATGGCACGTTCCCACGGATCATGATGAAAAAGAGCTTAGTATTTCTCGGGATCTTTGAATGAGTGGGATATAATTTAAACGAATGACAAAGGGAGAAAAAAAAATCACCTTCGAGTGGCAATGGGGAATTAAATAGCAGAAAAACTCGAAAGGAATGGAAAAAATTATGTGCTTTAGAGCGGTCGATTAGTTCCAATTAGTGACGAACACTCGACGGAGGTCGATCGAAATTGTGCAAAGAGGATGGTAATAATCATTTTCTTTTCTTCTTATTCTTCAGTGGGTTCTCCAGAATTGGGTCGTTCGGGGTTATCGGTTCGGGAATAATTTATGAAAACTGTTATGTCGAATTCACGTGTGTTCTATTTGTCTTGAATTTTTGGTAACTATCGATTTCACATTGACTATAGACAATTTTTTATTCCGATCACGTTTTGAACAGTATCGGTGGGTCAATTTCTCTGAGTATTCGTCGAGACCTTGGTATCAATGCTTTAATTGGTAGTCAACAATCTCGGGGTGAATAAAAATACCCGTTTCGCTGTGAATATTTATTGAGCTTGCGGTCATTTAATTTGGGAATCGAATCAATTGGGGCAGTTAATTGATTTATAATGGTCATGGCGATCTGAATAAAAATGGAGTAGGTGACCCGCATGGATAATTAAATGATGGGGATTTATTCGTGGGGATGGTTGTAATTTTCAAATAATAATCCCGGATTTAATTGATTTCGATTGCCACAATTTGGGGAACGTTTGCCGCACATTACTGAATAATTTAGTATTTCGTTGAATATACCAATTCGCCAGAAGAATTGGAATTAAGATTGATACTTGATCCGAATCATCATACAGAGAAATGGTCGCGTGAAACACGAGGTTTGAAAACATAATTTACGCTTCTGAAATCGTAATCACGAGAAAAATATTGTTTACGGTATTTACCACATTTATTTTTATTTTATCTTTGTGCAATCCCAGAATTCAGGATTTTAAGAATATAAATTAAGAGATTGTTTATGTAATTAATGTATTAAAAATGGTAAACTACAACGTATGTTGCCACGAATTATAAGAATTTTCGGTTTTTAACAAAAAAAATTTGTCACGTCACATTGTTTTTTAATAATATCTAGGAATCTGAGAGAGATAACGCATTTTTGGTTATGACCTCTTCTAGAAATCGTAGTCCACTCTACAAAAAATGTTTCTACAAGAATTTTCATATCTCAAAATTATGAGCCTTCGAAACCAAAATAAAAAATAGGATAATATCAAAATCAAATTCATCTCGATCGTTTTTCTAAAATCCTAATCAATTGATAAAAAAAGATGATAAATTCCGATTTCAAAAGTATAAATTTTGTTTTTAAATGTGTTCCACGAGAAAATTTCTGTGTCCATTGAATTTTCGGGGGTGTGACTAGAATGATACGATTCATCGAAGTGAATATATTCCCTCAGGTGAAATTTCACATTCTCAAGACAATTCAGATCGATCGTCCGCCTAATATAATCACAAAACTCTATTTTCATCAGATGCAAAGAGTGAAGTAGTTTAACCACTTATTTTATAAAGAGCATTCAGGATGATGCGCCAACAGCATCGTTGAGTCTTTCAACCTCCCGGTGGAGAAACCTTATCTACTTTGCGATAACTCGATTAATTTCTCGATGAGTGGGCGGTTTTTGCGCCCTAAGGATATTTTATATCAGCTATTCGATTTGCGCTTGAAATTAGATATTCCCTTCTTTCCACCGAGGAAACTCAACGCTGATTACAGATAGAGTCAAATAACTTTTTTTTCTTTCAACGTTAAAACTTTTTAAATTCAAGTATTTTAATATCCTTGAACCCGGGAGAGCGTACTTTTGACTTTATCTCGACTTGGTTTTTTTTCCCCGGCATATATCTCGCTAATATCGGTTTAAAAATAGGGAGCATTGGCGCGGGGCCAATGCTCGATTATTCCAATGGAATCTTTATGTATATCTGTTTCGTTATTCTTTTCCGAGTCGAGACATTTTTTATATGCCGAGTCACAACCAATATCAAATACTCACGCCATAAATTTATCACTCTTAAAATTGCCACATAAAAATCCGTTAATCTCAACTTCTGCGACATTTTCTCATTAAATTCGCTAATTAAATGACATCTTTTAATGAGATTCCCTCAAAATGTTTGATATTAAAAAATAATTAGAACTATTTAAATCCTCATGGACTTCTCGTATCAATTTGAATGCTGATGAAATTCCAAACATGAATTCATTCGATTGGATGAAAATGGATATCTTGATGTTGAAAATAGAAGAAAGACGTAATCTAATTAAATAATTCGATGACACCACTGATACAGCAGTGCTCCCCGGTTTCGCATGACAATCCCAATTCATATTGGCTATCACGATTCTTTTGATATTCCAAACATCCCGTATATTTTGAACCCGAACAATATCGCCTTTTCGTGAATAGAATTTCAATTAGTTCCTCCTGAGTTAGAACACGACGAAAACTCCGGGTATTCCATCCCCGAATTTGCCCCGACTAAGTCCTTTGTGAAAAGCCCACACCAATGCTCAATCCATGAGTAATAAAAATTTTCACTGTCCCCGATAAATCCGGACAAAAAGCCCGAGGCACTTTACCCCCTTGAATGTCATCCTGGCCGTTACCAGGTACGGGCACTTCCGTCAGGATCCAGTATCCGGACACATCCACCGTCCGTCTAAAATCCCAGTATTTTTTTGTCATTGGATAAGAGAAACAATTGTTTGCACAATTCAGGGTTTAATTCTCCAACTGGTTACGGATTCGTGCTAGTGACCGAGATGAGGAATAAAAAAAAAGGGGTAAAAATT